GCATAACAATAACCATCCATAATAAGATCCTTCAGGTGCTGTGGAGAATAGGTTGACCGCCAATTCTTTGTGGCAGCCCCTGAGATACTGGAACATCGCTATCATGTCCCCCCTTGTCCTTCTCCTCATTAAACTAGACATACCCAATTCCAGCAACCGTTCCTTCTATATTTTAGCCTCCAGTCCCCTGATCATCTTTGTTGCTCTTCTCTGCACTCTTTCTAGAGTCTCAACATCTTTTTTATATCGTGGTGACCAAAACTGGATGCAATATATTGCAAGTGTGGCCTTACCAAGGCAGTGTAAAGTGGTATTAACACTTCACGTGATCTTCATTCTATCCCTCTGTTGAGGACTATCTGTATTGTATAATATCGTCCGTTCTTCCTGACATACAGGACTGTGCTAGATATTATCTTGCTTGTGACCTGTCGCTTAATATAACCATACTTCATAATTTCTCATTTTCTCACGCTTAATATCTGAGTGCGAGTTATTTGGGATTTCTTTCTACAAAACATATTTGCTTTTTAATGAGTAGAAAAAGCAACATTTCCCTCAAGTGGAGCTACAAATCCTGCCGGCCACATGGACATCCGAAAACGACATTCTCTCTTTATGATTCCTATTTTTGCAGTCAGCTTCTCATTCCACGTCTGTGCATTATGGCTTTCNCAAAAGGCGGCCTTACTAGGAACTGCTTCCATCCTGCGACGAGATCTGTAATACCATCAAACATCCACATCTGCCTATCCCAGGTCCTTGGGAAGGACTCGATAGGTAGACAAAAATGCCAAATCCAGTCTGAACATCTGGCTGACTGTGCGATGATCCATAATAATAATAATAATAATAATAATAATAATAATAATAATAATAATAATAATAATAATAATAATGAGAAGAAGAAGAAGAAGAAGAAGAAGAAGAAGAAGAAGAAGAAGAAGAAGAAGAAGAAGAAGTAGTAGTAGTAGTAGTAGTAGTAGTTGGAAGGGACCTTGGAGGTCATCTAGTCCAACCCCCCGCTCAGGCAGGGAACCCTACACCATTTCAGACAAAGGGCTGAAATACTTATGGGGAGTCTGTTTCAAAAGGCACCTGGACATTTCGCTTCTCATCCCAGAAGCTTCATCAGTTCTGAATGGACGGTGGGGGGAAAAAGGGAAGGATTACTTCACTGTTCTGCCAGAACCGATGAAGCTTCTGGGACGAGAAGCGAAATGTCTTCTTTTTTGAGGGAAAAAACCAACAACAGTCCAGTTGCCTTTTTGGAAAAAGCACCTTTGAGACAGCTGTGACCTGGAGGACTTGAGAATCTCCACAGATTGTGGGGAATGAAAATAGAAATAGCAGTTTCGGAGCGAGAAACCAGGAACACTTAAGACCACTCCTTAGCTCAAAAATACTGGGGTTTTTTTGTTTTTTTTATCTGCTTGAAGAGTCAGAGTCAATGGAATGTATTTGTACCAGCGACTGTATTATTAGTAAGCAAACGTTTTTTTTTCCTGAGCCTCGAGCGGGTTTAAAGCAGCTTAGATGCAAGAAATTCAGCTTTATTGAGAGAGGACTTGTCCTGAAGCAAGCCAATATATCTCGAGAGAGAGATCTAATGCTTTATCCTAACAAATGGGAAAAAAACCCCAGACTTTTCAAATGCCAGATTGGCCTCCCCCCCCTATTCCCTCCCCAATTCTTCCTAGCCAAAAGGAATTAGGTGTTCTCAAAACAACTGTTGCTGTCTGTTCTATGGGTTAATAGGGAACGTTTGCATTCTATTGTTCTACCGTGTAACGACCTACTATTTATAAATGATGTAGGGAAACGCTTGTCCGATTGCCTTTCTTTCAACGAAAACCGAGTCGGTAGTCGTATTAAAAAGGTTTTTTTATTCTGTTTATAGTGATGTCCTATAAAGGGGCAGAACTCATAGGAAATTATAAGAACTCTCTTAGGTACGTTCCCGGCAATTGGTCCATTTCCCCCCTTCGCATAAAAATCTTTTTATCCCTCGCTATTTTGATTCGGAGCTATAGTTGGGAAGCGAGATACGGTTAAAGGAAGGGGCTGCAGAAGTACACCGATTGTACTTGATGTCCTTTGGACAAAATGACAACAATAAGATTATCTGAATAAATGTTTTTTTTATTTATTCTACCGTGTCTGAGACCTGGAGAGATTTGATTCACTCTGAAGGTCTAACGTGTTTTTCATTTGAACTTTACAAATCTCAGTTCTAATGTTTTGGGGCAATTTGCAAAACAGAACCCTTGAAAAGAAATGTTGACTTGTTTGGTTTTAATGGTTTTGGATTGTTGTGTGGAATCCTGGGTGCTTGGTTGTTTTCTTGCAGACGTTTCATTACAAGCTCAGAAAGCATCAAGGACTCCACAGTTCAACCCGGAGCTACAAATATTCTCTATTTGGTTACTTCTGGCTTTGTGTGTGTGTGAGTTTTATTATAAACAGCTGAGAGACGAGGATAGCAGGCAGTGTGAAAAAAAAAGAATCAACAGATAAACACTAGATATTTCAAAACTGAACTGAACTCTGGAGAGCCACGCCAGATGATCTAAACATCAACTGACTCAATAAATAACGGTCCAGAATCCTTAAATCATAAAGTTAGAAAAGTCCACTAAAACTGTCAAATCTTTCCTGCTGCTCAAAAAAAGAGGGTTTGGGTTTTTTGTGTTCTTTTTGCTTAAAAACTTCCAGCCAAGAAACCCACCTCCCCCTTTCCACTGTTCAGCTTCTCTCCATGTTAAGGTTTTTTTTCCCCCTAACATTAATCGGATTAATCGGAAATCTGCCTTTTTTGTACTTTAATTCCACAAGTTGCACATGGGAAGGTTGAAAATATAGGAAGCCAAAAATTCCAGAACCTTGGAGCCAGATGATTTGTAAACCTTATAAATCATTTTTTTTAAAAAAAATATAACATCAATTCCCAGAAAGGGGAATGCTGAGCAAGCATCCCTTAAAAGCCCCTAGTTGGGAAAAAAAAACCCAGAATTAAAGAAACATCTTTGACCATGAGTGCTTTCCAACCACACATACACACACGCAAAACGAATCATTCAAAATGGTGAGTTTCTTCCCCACCCTTTTATCATTAAAGTACCATTTATCTATCAATTTTTCTAGGCCCATGCTACAGGCAGACCTTAATTTCCATCATTGACCAATAAAAGTACAGTCCGTAAAACAAACCACTCAAAACTGTGGCTTAACCACAAGAAATATTAGCAAGCCTTTGCGGGCAAAGCTTACGCACACACGGTAGCAACCTTGCGCTTTTTTTTTTTTAGAGGAATAATTGTATCTTGATTACTGAACAGGTAGTGTCAATCGAAGCTATCAGATTGCCCGGGAAGGGAAATTTAAATAAAACTCGGGCAACCAACTAGTTGGCTACAGATGTTCATTTTTTTTGCAAAAATTCCCTCTTAAAAATCCACCGCCTGGAAAATAATATTGCAAAAATAAAAATAGAATCAACTGGCTTTGATTGCCACTCTCTCTCTCTCCCTCCTTCTTTCTCTCTGTCTCTGTCTTTCTTTCTCTCTCTGTGTCCCCCCTCTCTCTTTCTCTCTCTCTCTGTGTCTGTCTGTGTGTGTGTCCCCCTTTCTCTCTCTCTGTCTCCCCCTCTTTCTGTCTCTGTCCCTCTCTTTCTGTCTCTCTCTTTCTGTCTCTGTCCCTCTATATCTCTCTCTTTCTCTCTCTCTCTGTCTGTCTCTCTTTCTCTCTGTGTGTATGTTCCCCTCTTTCTCTCTCTCTGTCTCCCTCTTTCTGTCTCTGTCCGTCTCTCTCTTTCTTTCTCTCTCTCTTTCTGTCTCTGTCCCTCTATCTCTCTCTTTCTCTCTGTGTGTATGTTCCCTTCTTTCTCTCTCTCTGTCTCCTCCTCTTTCTGTCTCTGTCCCTGTCTCTCTTTCTTTCTCTCTCTCTCTCTTTCTGTCTCTGTCCCTGTCTCTCTTTCTCTCTCTCTCTTTCTGTCTCTGTCCCTCTATCTCTCTCTTTCTCTGTGTGTGTGTCTCTGTCTCTCTTTCTCTCTCTCTCTCTCCTCCTCTTTCTGTCTCTGTCCCTGTCTCTCTCTCTCTCTCTTTCTTTCTTTCTCTGTCCTTCTCTTTTTTCTTTCTCTCTCTGTGTGTGTGTGTGTGTGTGTGTGTGTCCCTCCCCCCTCTCTCATAAGGGGCATCAGGGGCAGGAGGAGACCGGCTTTTGCAAGACACGGGTCTCGCCCCTTTCCCTCGCTGCCCTGCCTGACCCAACGTTGCACACGGGGGCAACGTGTTCACCCGCCGCTCTCGCCTCCGCAGCGAGGCTTTTTTTTTTTGCGTGCGTGTGTGTGCAAATCTGGGAAGTACCGCCGTCCCCTCTCCCTCGCCTCCCGGCCCCGCAAAGGGGAAGAAAGGCCAGCCGTGTGTCAGACGGAGCCTCCCCCGCCCCAAAGGCACTTTCTCCTGTCCCCCCCCCCCAAAAAAAAACCCCTACCAGCGCCCCTATCCTGAGTCACCCGCCTTATCCCTTTTGGAGACGGTGCAATGCAACTTTTGTGTGTGTGTGTCTTTCCGAGGCTTCCGATTGGCTGGGGGGGGTGGGGGGGGAGCCGTTCCTTTTTTCCCATTGGCCGCCGGAGAGGGAAGGGAGGGAGGGGGGTGTTCTTGCTGGCCTTGGCTTCGACGGGGAGGGCAAGAGCGCGCGCCAGGCTGGGCAGCGCCTCGCGCCTGTATAAAAGCCCAGCCGGGCATCCTTGCGCTCCAGCCAAGGCAGAAGGTGCCAAAGGGGAGCAGAGGACCGGAGATTATTTTTTGTCGTCCCCCCACCCGACGGGCAGAGAAAGGAAGCTTGCAGGGCGCTGGTCCAAATAGGGGAGACCCGACGGCCAAGAAAGCCAGCCGGGCAAGGCGAGAGAGAGAGAGAGAGAGAGCGCAAGAGCGCGCAAGGCACCCAACCCATCCACATTCCCACCCATCCACATTCCCACCCTTCCTTGGATCTGGATGGCGTCTACCGGGATCCAGCTGCTGGGCTTGGCCCTGTGCGTGCTGGGCTGGGCCGGCTCCATCCTGGTGGCCGCCCTGCCCTCCTGGCAGGTCTCGGCTTTCATCGAGGGTCACCTGGTGGTGTCGCAGACCACCTGGGAAGGGCTGTGGATGGCCTGCGTGGTGCAGAGCACCGGGCAGATGCAGTGCAAGGTCTTCGACTCCATCCTGGCGCTCAGTCCGCAGATCCAAGCCGGCCGGACCCTGATGGTCATCGGAGCGGTGCTGGGCTTGGTGGCGCTGCTGGTGACGGTGACCGGAGCGCAGTGCACCACCTGCATGCACGGGGCTAAGGTCAAGGACTGGATCGCGGGCATCGGGGGCGGCCTCTTCGTGGTCTGCGGCTTCCTGGTGCTGGTGCCCCCCTCCTGGTTCGCCAACACCATCATCAGCAACTTCTACGACCCCAACGTCGAGCCCTCCAAGAAGCGGGAGATGGGCGCCGCGCTCTACCTGGGCTGGGCGGCCGCCACGCTGCTCCTGCTGGGCGGCGCGCTCATCTGCGGAGCCTCGGCTTGGAAGGACGACAGCGGCGGCTTCCCGGTCAAGTACTCGGCCCACCGTCGCCCCGTCGCCCCGGTCTCCAACGGCGCCGGAGGGGAGTACGACAAGAAGAACTACGTCTGAGAAGGAGCGGCTAGACGGCCTCAAGGGGTCTCTGAGCGCCACCCACCCGTCGCGGGGCCGAGGGAAGAGCTGGCAGGGGGTGGGTGGTCCTCGCCTCCCCGCTTGGTGTGTGACTTTAGGGGGGGAGAAGACACCCCCCCCCCAAAAAAACACAAAACTTTACAAAAATTCGCACCCGAGACTCTTCCTTTCCTTTTGAGAATTCTTCTTTGTGTGGACTTCGAATCGTACTGGCCCTCATCGAGGGCCTGGCTGCGCTGCTCCTTTTTCAAAGGGGGGGTCAGCTCTCCCGCTGTAACCCCCCCACCTATTTTCTGAAGTTAGATGATGGCTAAGGATTTTTTATTTTTTTTAGATGATGGCTAAGGGTTTTTTTATTTTTTTTAATTTCCTCCTCCTGGAAACAGGGGACTCGAAAATCAAGGGGCGATGCTTTGTTTGGGGTGGGGCAGGGCGGGGCGGGGACTCGGTTCTCCTTGTAAATATGAAGTGGGGGCTCTCACTTTGGGGTGTGTGTATTGTGCTGAGATGATCAGAGGGGGTTGCGTTTTATTAGTAATGTGAAGGTGTAAGAGGCTGTGAGCCTGGACCAGGTTTTATGGAAAATGTTATCGGGGTGGGGGGAATGTTCTCTTCCCGTTTCTAAACTTCCTTTCTTTTCCTATCACTACTTTTTGTCTTCTCTTCCTTCTCACTTTTAAAACTGGGGCGAAAGATTCCCTTGGACAAAATTAGAATTGACTTGGCACTCCTTGGCCTATTTGAATAGCAATTTCTTCCTTTATTATGGCCTCCATTGGATAGCCATTTCTTTGGAAGGCTTCTCCTCTAAAACAGATTTTATTCCAAGAAGGTGTCTGGTCTTCTGGTTGGTCTTCGCCAGGCCAAATTTCTCCACTGCACTGCCTTATTTTTAAATGATGTGATTATGATCCTTAAGTTATGGGATGACCCGGTGAAATTTGGACTGGGTGTTTCGTTTCCAAATGACCATTTCAGTGTTGACTTTTAATTTTTTTTGTCCGCCAAATAAAAAAAAAATCCACCCCAGGTTTTAAAATCCAGTAGAGAACCTTATGTTGGTCAAAGTTTCTGAGTTTGACCTGGTTCTCTTTCCGTTTGCAAGCATCGCTTTTTAGTTCACTTCGGTGGATTCAAAGCAGGGATAATTCTGGTACTGTATTTTTTTTAATTATTATTTCACGCTGTAACTTAAGAAAAACCTGTCTTCATCAACAGTGTTCTCGAATCAAAGATCTGGTATATTCTATATATCTGCATATTTATAATATATATGTGTATATATGAAATTACATGTCTCCTTTTCATGTTTTCAGTGTGGTTATCTGTAAAGAACACGACTCGTTTAGATAGCAAAAAAAAAAGCGAACAATTGTTTTTTTCTCAACTCTCCGCCTACTTTTGAAATATTTATTTTTCAATGTTATTTGCTGGACCTTTTTTTTTAAATGACTATTTTTTAAAGCATTGTAAAGACTAAGGCACTTAGTATGATTAACTGGAGAAGAAGAGATTGGCAAGAGACACAGCTGTGAATTGCCAGGTATTTAGGGGGAGTGGGGGATGTTTTCTTAGCCCCACTGTCTCTTTCCAGATGTTTCCAGTCCTGGACTTAAAAGTATTTGTTTGGTTTCCAGGTTTGGGTGGTTGCACGAGATGATAAGCTCAAACCAAATTGAACTTTGTTTCAATTGCTTGGATCGTCATCATCGTTAGGGGAAAGTAAATTGATATGCAGAAAGAAAAAAAACCAATATGAAAGCTTGGGAAGGCTACGGGGGGGGGGGGGACCCCAGATAAAGAAGGAACGAGAGGAAATAACGGGTTTTGCTAAACTGCAGGATTCCCAGAAATAGTCAATTGGATGGAGTTGAGAGCTAGCTTGGTGTTTAGTTGGATCTGAGAATTTCAAGTTGCTAAATCTGTCTTAGCTGGAAGCCGAGTAGATAGCTTAGGGTGGAGTGGGGAAATTGCCTGCATTGGTGCAAAGCAGCAAAAGGTTAAAAAAAAAAAAGAAAGAAATTACAAAAGAAGACAACTGGACAAAAGTCCAGAAAAACACACTAACCCTCTACATCAGTGGTTCTCAACCTGTGGGTCGGGACCCCATTTGAGGGTCGATCGACCATTTCATGGGGGTCGCCAAGCAAGGCTGTCCGCCATTTTTTTTGTCCGCCATTTTTCCCCCCCTTTTCCGGCGGGTGCCTTACCTGGGAACCCGACCCGGTCGACCACCAGCCGGACGAGGCAGAGACGGCGAACGGTCGATGCGGAGCCGGCCGCGTCCCCCGCCTTGGTGCGTACACGCCGCGAGGGCCCGTCCCTTTCAGGAGCTGAATGCTGGCCAACCCATCAGGAGTTGAATGCTGGCCAAATCAGGAGCTGTTACGACCGGTTTAGTCCTCGACTTAACGACCGGTTGGGGTCGCGGCATTAAAAAGGTTGAGAACCACTGCTCTACATGATCCCTGTGGATTAAGATCTAGCGTGTCTGGGGACCTCAAGAAGTTACGATTCATATCTCAAGTCCTGGTTGAACAAACTACAGCTCAGGATAACCCGGAAAATTCAGTTGGGGTATATAACCCCAGACAAGAATATTTGGAAAAGAAGCAGGTTGGTTAAGGCTGGTGCAGTGGGATCCCTTCGTTTTCAACACAGCGAAAGGAGGAAAAATGGAGCAATGGGACACAACGAGGGTGGAAAGGAAGCAGGAGGCGTAGAGGATTTTCCGGGCCAAATTCGACAAGGTTGTGTTTTGAAGGCTGTTATGTTAAGGAGAGGAATAGTGGGAGAGGAGGCGCCCACATCAAGCTCTCCACACTGGCGTTATCTTTATGCATCCCATTATAACTCTGCAGCACACCTGGAAGGCGTCAAGTAGGGGAAAGTTGCATTCCGACTGGCTTTGGCGGAAAGTAACGTTCATTTATTTCGCCTTTATTATTTTTTACAAATAACTCAAGGCAGTGAACATATCCCACGGACCTTCCTCCTCCTGTTTTCCCCACAACAAGAACCCTGTGAGGTGGGTTGGGCTGAAGGAGAGAGACTGGCCCAAAGTCACCCAGTTGGCTTGCATGCCTAAGATGGAACTAGAACTCACAATCTCCTGGTGATTGGCCCAAAGTCACCCAGTTGGTTTGCATGCCTAAGACGGAACTAGAACTCCCAGTCTCCTGGTGATTGGCCCAAAGTCACTCAGCTGGCTCTCATGCCTAAGATGGAACTAGAACTCATAGTCTCCTGGTGACTGGCCCGAAGTCACTCAGCTGGCTTTCATGCCTAAGGTGGGACTTGAACTCATGGTCTCCTGCTTTCTAGCCTGGTACCTTTAACCACTCTAAACCTCAAAGCTGTGTTCTGGGACTAGAGGGGGAGCAGGAGAAAATTGTAGTCCCCAATTTCCAATTTTCTCCTGCTCCCCCTCAGGTCCCAGTGCCAGCACACAGCTTTGAGATTCTGGGATCGGTCTAGTTAGTTAAGACACCAGGCTAGAAAGCAGGAGACTGTGAGTTATAGTTTTGTCTTCTGCATGAAAACTGGCTGGGTGATTTTGGGCTAATGACCAGGAGAGGGTGAGTTCTAGTCCCGTTTTAGGCCTGAAAGCCAGCTGGGTGACTTTGGGCCAGTTCCTCTCTCTCAATCCAACCCACCTCTCCCCCTGCCCACTTCTTGCTACACCCATCCACCCACCCACCCACCCACCCACACACACGGTAGCTCCTTCTCTAAAGGAGCAAGACCAGGTACTTCTGAAAAGCAGGTAACCATATGAAGATGGTGATTACAGGGTGGTTTTCTGGCCACAGGAGGCTCTGACCACACACGTATTAATACAATAGAATAACAGAGCTGGAAGGGACCTCGTAGGTCATCTAGCCCAACCCACCACCCAACTCGTACTATCTGCCAGAAGAGGTACCCCGTACAACAGCCAAAACCCTCCTCCCTTTTACGAGGGGGGAGCTGTGAGAGAGGTTTATTTACTTATTTTTAGCTTTTTCAGGAAAGAAATACTCTGATCCAGACAACAACAGTCTTAGCTGGAGGAACAGGCCAGTCTGATGCTCGATTCAGCTCTGCCTGTCCCACCCATCGGGCATGCCCTATAACACGCTTTCGGTCCATCGGGTTCAAGGCTGGGCTTCCCGTTTGGAAGCCCAGCTTTTAAAACAAAAATAGATTTCATTTCGGAGTTAATGACAATTCCTTGCTTTCACTCTCGTGACAGCGTTTCCCTCTCTGAGCTGACCTAGATAAACATTATCTACCTGGGGGAATTTTCCTGTGGGTCATTTTCAGTTTCTTTTCCTTTTCAGCTAAGCACTTAGGATTTAAGGGTTAAGTTAAACCATGGAAGGCTTTAACCCGTACCCTCCAGATAACCTAGCAAATCCAGCTTAAACCTGTCTGTTCTATGACCAGGAAATGCAGCCATCAGCAGGCAAAGGAAAAAGGAAATAGTAGGTCATTTTTTCTCAACAGAATGTTTAGGACAGCGTTTCCTCTTCCGTTGTATCATAGTGCTGATGCGTTTGCCATTCCTCAACTGGGGCCCCTTTATTTTCCTAGAATATAGCAATATGAAGAATTGAATGGGGAGTTTTCCATATTACCTAACCGGAATCAAAGAAGCTTGCAATGCCCTGATAAGCACGACCATCCATAGGCCAAGGTAGGCTGGCTTTTCGAGGCAGTTGGGACCTGAACGTTTAATAGACTGAGGTCCCTCGAAATAACAGAAAATACTCGTTGCTCGGGTTTTAGATTTTGGCTGTGGTTTGTCCTCCAAGCTTGTTTTAATATAATATTATTAAAACAAGCTCGGAGAACAAACCACTGGGGTCCCTTCTTCAGATGCCTAAAGGGTTGGGTTTGATTATGTGGCATCAACTTGTTGAGTCTTAGTGATCACATAGATTTTATACTGATGTATAGGAAGGAAGGAAGAAAGGAAGGAAAACAGAAAGAAAGAA